AATTTTTCGTGGGCCCCCTTGTCTTTGGAGCCAAAAAAATTCGGTCGCATATTTAAATTTCTTAAAAATTATCTGTCCACTAGAAAGCCATTAAATTTAGAAACTTTATGTCACTTTATACTTTTTTCGTAAAACGCAATGTTTTCGAGAAAAATGTCAAAATGTAATCGAATGCTTATCGTGATTCGCCATTTTCCTCAAAAACATTGCATTTTACAAAAAAAATATCAAGGGACAAACAAGTTTCTAAATTCAATGGCTTTCTAGCTAACTAATAATTTTTAAGAAATTCAATTTTGCGACCAAATTTTTTTAGTTCCAGAGACGAGGGGGCCCACGAAAATGTGTCATAAGTGGGTTCCTCGCTAAAAAGCGTAGCACTATCAGATTCCACATGTCATAAAACCCCTGTATACCAAATTTAGTGATTCTCATACTACTGAGATATAAAAAAGACTATTCGTAGGGGTGAATTCCGGGGGCTGTTACGCCAAATGAGGGGGCTACTTGGCAAAAATAAAAAATATGGATCCCCTAAATTTGTCTTAAGAATCTATGACCAAATGTTGTTGCATTAATTTCGGGACACCCGGTATAATATATAATTAATAAATTTAAATTTTCGTAACACCATTTCAAGTCAAATATATTTCATATAATAGTAATTATTTTTCCTTCTGTATAAAAAATGTACCAATACCTATGCCTGTGATACACCAGAGATTTACAAATCTAAACGTGGAATTAAATAAATGCAAGGTTTCAAAAAAAGGAAAGCAAATATCTACACGCATCTTATTAATTTCCTTTCTGTAATAAAATTGTGTTTCTGTCTCATAATTAATAAAATTGTAACACCTACTGCACCTACCAGGAAGTATACATTGTTTGCTTTTATTATCCTTGTTAATTAAGGAATTTAATGACCATATACTATAATAGGCTTGGAACACATGAATCTATATTTTAAAATAAAAGGACAGTAAAACAAAAATGTGGTAGGTGAACAGTCAAACTGGTAGATTTTATTAGGAACTAACTTATTTTTATTTATCACTAAATAATTTTTATCTCCGTTACTAATTAGTGAACCTTTTTCATTAGTCTCAATTTCCCTTCCAATAAATAATGAATTAATTTCATATCATTAGAGAAGTATTAAATAATATTTATTTCATACTTAATATTTTCTGTATTCAAATTTCAGTTTTCGGTTCTTAAATAAATAAAAATGTTTATTATCTCTCTGAAAGTTCTGATCCTATAAATCTGAAAATTTAGCAAAGGCAGTAGAGCCAACACAGCTAAAATATTTAGAACTTTATACATAAATATTTATTATCTATTTCGGTTATACCGGAAGCCTACATTAACTTCTTATTTTAAATGGAACACCCTATATATTATTGCATTTTTTCAGGTTCTACGTGAAATTCGAGGGTCATTTTATTAAATATTTCCTATACCTAAGAGTTATAAATTTTGAGATATTAATTTTTAAAGAAAAAATTTGACAGATGCAAGGGTCTGCAGAGATGCTAGTAACTCTTTTCAAGAGTATGATATCAAGTGGACTTTTGGTACCTGTAAAGGGCATAGGTAACACTAAATTATGGTATACTAACAAATTAAAATATTTAATACTAGGTGTTTCATTTTTGCTGTTACATTTTGATAACTTCAAACAGCTATAACTTTGTTAATTTAAATGGAACACCCTGTATTCGTTTACTATGTGTTATGCAGATTGAAATTTCCTTTCAAGCCATTTAAGCATTGGTAGGATTGCCGTTACTACTTTTAGATATTTGCAATTTGCTATTTTGTTAACAATTTTTCTCATTTCAGACCTGTTATCAAATTGGCCATAACCAAAAACACCACANTGCTGCTTAGAGAATGGCATTTTGATGCAACTTGTGTATCAACACCTTACAAGAAATGTGAGCAGGAAAAAAAGATTTGATGCTTCGTAGAAACACAACAAACAATACAGAAAGCAGGAGCAACTTAAACACGTCTTACTCACTGTAAACCATATTCACCATAATGATGTTTTTTTAAATAAAATTTTCATTATGGAAATACTTATAATTAGAATCTGTTTTAATAAAAAAATTCACATTTTCAGTCTCATAATCTCCACTTAATATTAAATTTAATACAAATATTGCTCTATCGCCTTCCCTACAAAAATTGGGTGATTTTTTTTTATGTGCCTGATCTAAAATATAATAATGAATTAAAGCATTTTGTAACTACTAGTAGTTATAATTCAAACAGAAAAATATAATTTTCATATTTTTATTGTGAAGATTACGCCATGGGGTATAAGAAAGTTGTTAAACTGGTTAAAGCAAGCTTACCATAATCCAGAAATCTTTATTACTGAAAATGGTGTCGCAGAAAATGGCTCTTCCTTGAATGATACTATTAGAAGTAACTATTATAGGGTAAGTTTTGCAATATCGAGAATAGTTATTAGCTAAAATTTCGTTAAAATATGATAAATATGAAAATGAACAATTTCCTGTTTACCATTCCTGTTACGAAAATAATCTTACAGATATTTTTCAACAAAACTGCATAAACCTACCTTTTCTTTCAGAACGTTTTAATTATTTGTAATTAAAAATTAAGTTAAGTTTTTACGTTGTTGATTATTTTATTAAATACCTGTTTTGATTATATGCTCACTGCAATCCATAAAATTTATGCGTTATTTTGGGAGCGCATTATAGAATCATAGGTATAGAATGCTGAACAGTTGTATTAAAAACTTCTATATTGCTCGTTTTTCCTTACGTACCTATGTGAGGGCATCTGCAGATCTTTTACTGATTTTATTACAATCTTCTTTTTTTTATCTTTGAAAGAACAACTTTTTCCAAAATTTATCATTCACTGTATTTTGACCTGCGCCTTCGCCATTACTTTAAATATAGGTACTTATTTTTTATTTTTTACGTTATCTTATTTCTGACTTGAATGTAAAAAAATCAGTATATATATTTACACTCACATACACCTACACGATAACTTTCTAATTAAAAAGTATGTAATCTGAAGTTATTTAAGAAAATTAATTATATTTTTAGAAAATTGATCTATGCGATAGAAATGATTAGTAGGTACAAAAAGAAATTGTTTATATTAAACAGTTCAAAGACAACAGGCTAACCATAAAAATGTGTTTCATAGTATCCCAAACATACATAAATATACATACATACATTAATGCCCTGAATTTTAGGATTATCTCAGCAACATAAGAAGTGCCATGGAAGACGGGGTCAAAATAATTGGCTACACGGATTGGAGCCTTTTGGATAACTTCGAATTTTCGGAAGGATATAAGTGAGAATACACTTTTTTAAGTTAAATACAGCGAACAGACGCGTCTGCACAGCAAAATTTATGTCTTCGAAAAGAGTTATCCACTGGTTCCAGTTTCGCTGCACTCCTGTGGCAGATTTATTTTTCAATAGCAGATGAGAGACATGGTTGTCATAAAATACGTGACCAATGAAAGATCAAAGATGGATCAAAATAAAAAAGCTAACGCATGCTGGATTATAGTCCGCGATACAATATTATCTCATATCCTTTGAAATGGCATGAGTTAAAGACTTCTTAGCTGGTATACATTTTGATTTATTTGATTGTAATGTATTACCAGAATAGTAAGAAAATGACTCGCTTGTATTTTTGAGTCTCCAACCATTGACCAATCCATGACTTTTTTATACAGGGTGTGAAGTAGCAAAAATGGTACCAGTAGTATAAAATACCTTAGGGTAAATCTAGGAGAGATGACGCACATTTTTTAAAATAATTATAAAACATATGTGAAATTGAAAATAAAGAGCAAAACTTCAGATTACGTTAAAAGAGTTTAATAAGTTATAATATATGACTTCAAATATGACAAAATGTTGAAAATTTTGGTAAAAATCAACATTTTTTTTCTTATGACTGCGTCATCTCACCTTAGGTATCGAGGGGATTTAACGCAGTATGTTAAATGATCGTACTTTTTTTTCATAAATTTGTATTAAAACTTCATATAATTTACTTTTGATTCATTTATTTATTTATAATAATAAATAAAATACTCATTATTGTAGTTAGACAAAGAAGCATACACTCTGAACAAAAACGTAATTGTTTTCGAATTGTTCTTTATTTCTTCTTAAAGAAAAATCTAACCATGCATACATAGCCTGCCTTGCGAGATTTTCTGTTGAAATTGTATGGTAATTCTAGTTTTTCTGCTAACTCAAAAGCCAAAAAGCGCATAAAGGATCTCGTAGGTACAAATCCATGTGTTTTCAACTTTTGCTGTACTAATTTATCCTATTGTGCTCTCCTAGTGTACTTGAAGGTCCAAACGGTTTAGTTTGAGGTCTTCACATTTCCTTCGGCGTCGCAAAGTGCATTCGGGGCTACCGAATTCGCGACCTGCCTCAGGAATACCTATCTCATCTCTATCGATAGCACTGATTGCTCTAGTCTAGACAACTGTTCTATTGTCCCCTCTCCTATTCGAACGTTTCCATTTCTTTTATATTTCGTCGGTATGCTATAAACGATAAATTAATAACATTTCTGTCAAAATAAAATTATAAACGATGTGTCTATTATTGCGCCAACTCTCCTTACGCATACGTGCGTCAACTCACCTTACAGTATAAGGTGAGTTGATGCAGAAATTTTTAACTAAATTCATTACAGGAAATGTGTGAAATTGAGGTTAGAACTACTTAACTAGTCATTATCTACAACAGAATCCCTTAAAAACTTAATAAAAATATAACTTAACGTACCTGTATATTTTCTGACTCTAAACGATGTAAAAATATTTAGTGTAACCTCAATAAATTTAACAAAATACCGTCACTAACACTACTCAAATATAACTGTATTTGATACGTACATATGTGACGACATAATAAGAATTACCGGTGTTGCCAAATATACGCTATGAACAATGATTGTTCCAGAACGAGCAGTGCGTCATCTCACCTGATGCGTCATCTCTCCTAGATTTACCCTATATGAAAGTTGCACCCCTGAGGCGATATATCCTCTTAAAGGAGGGGATTGAAATTCACATTTTAATTTTTGCCTTTAACATGAGGAATGCTAGAGACACGAAACTTGGTATGAGCATCCTACTAATAAAGAGACAGCTTTTCAATATTTGTTCGATCATTGGCGTATCTTATAAAAGAGTGAAACAGTTAACCCCATTGCAATATTTTATTAGAAATATTTTTTTATGAAGCAAATTATTTATTTAAAAATATTTTGGGAAGACTGATTTATTGCGCAACTTTTCTACCTCTTACTATTTTTCGATAAAACCGATAGTTTTCTAGTAAAAAAATTAGATGCCTCATCGTTCACTAAAGGAGTAATTGCGAAAATTTGTGAAAATAAAGTAGGAAGATGTCATAACAAATAAACTGTTATTTATCATATTAACAACCTTTCTTATTTTATGTATAGAATGACTTCTTCAAATATAAAAAGAAAATTCTCGAACACCCTGGATTTCAGTATATTTATCTGTATACCCGAAATCCATAGTCGATATCACAAAAGACAAAAATATTTTGAAATCTAAATCTACGGAAAAATACGCAAATGTAAATCTACGGAAAAGTACGCATGTCATATTTTTACATTATTCTACTGGTGGATTGCACTAAAAGTTTATATATAGCACAAACCGTTTTAATGTTATATGAAATACATTGTTTCATGATGAAAATTGTTGTACGCGTATTTTAAAAACAAACTGTATATAATGCTACACTGAATAGATTTTAAATTCTATCTATTGTTCTTTTAAAAGTCTTTACAATTACTTTGAATACATATAGAAGGTGCCTCTAAAAGGTCTGAACAAAATTTGATAGTGTCTAAGAAGTATTGAAGTTACAAGTCAATATTAGTTTTTCTTCAATAGCTTTATTATTAATCGTAGTAGATAGAGAAAACTTCGTATAAGGGAGTTTCCTGGCATGAAATTTGGTGTCAAATTTACCCGACGTGACCGACAAACACAAAAGACCTAGACACCAACTTTTTGACCGTGGGTGACCACCCCAATAAACCCCCCCCCCCTGCCCGCTAACCTTTTCCGTTTCAGAGACAGCCAGGATCAAGAAACGAAGACAACGACACACACACACACATACACACCCCCCATACCCTCCTTAACCCAGCAGAATTTATGTCTTCGAAAAGAGTTATCCACTGGTTCCAGTTTCGCTACACTCCTGTGGCAGATTTATTTTTCAATAGCAGATGAGAGACATGGTTGTTGTCATAAAATACGTGACCAATGAAAGATCAAAGATGGATCAAAATAAAAAAGCTAACGCATGCTGGATTATAGTCCGCGATACAATATTATC